ATGAATAAATTATTGTCCACCGGTTCTCACACCGATTCGTCGAAATTAATAATTTTGTATCGCGCGCGACCGACAAACGACCGTCGAATACGAATGGCAAAGTCTCACGACGTAATAATATAATAATAATAATAATAATACAAAAACAATTTTTACCTTCGTATCTGCATGTTTTTACCCATATAAATTGGCACTATTGCAAGTCATATGCCATCAACTTATTTTTTATTTTTTCTATTTTACAGGAGTCATCCCGGTGATCGCCAACAACGGATGTAACGGATGCACTGAAAGACAAATGACCACCATCAAGAAGTCGCTGAACTTCCTGAGGACGAAGAAGCCGGTCGAATGGGCGAGACTCGTAAAGATCTACGACCCGTCCGGCACCAAATTGAACAAATTCCTCGACGCGTAATGGCTCCAACACATAACATAATAATATTATCATGACAACACTATAATATAATAATATATTATATTGTATTGCGCATGTGCGACGCCCGACAATAATACTGTCGATCATGWCAAATATTKTAAATATTTCACACGCGCGTTAATTATACTTTTTGCTTACACGAGATTTTGCTAGCTTATTGCAATGTGAATACATCGTCTATATTTATAAGTTTTATATATTAATTTATTGAATCGACTAAACTGTTTTGAAAATTAAAAAAAAAAAAAAAACAATCTCAATCAAGAACGTTGTATTATTTTTTATTTTATAAATAATTTATTTTTATTAACCTGAAGAGTGGACAGATCGCGATTACCAATAATACCGTATATTAGGCTCGTGTTACGGTAGTTTTGCATGTCCATTTAATCAGTGCAGTTGTTCATCGTTATTGTCTGATCGATTCGTTCGGCACACGATTTCATTTGAAAACATGTATTACAGTGAAATATTTGAGTGGGGGAGAGAGGGATCCTGCGTTACWCAATGTTAAATCAATATTTTATCACGGATTTTTTAATAATTGAACGACATTTGCACATATTGGACGATTTGTTTGAATTAGTTCAACGAGACGATATTATAACTGTATAATAAACTGAGAAGGTGTAGGTATGCAATGCTAAAGTTATTAGGACTAAATCATAAACGAAACTCGTAGGTAAATAAAGTGTATAATATTGAAATTTCAAAGGGCGATTTAGATTATGATTATCTGAATATGTAATTCAAATTTCAAAAGATCTGCAGAGAGAAGGACAAACATACACACTCACGTTGTGTACCTACAACACACATTGATACGATAATATATACCTAGCTATAACATAAATATACAATATTATAATTTTTTTAAAAGCCAAACAAGACAACATCCATGACGACRACAAATATTATTATATCAACAATCAACATGTATATTATATGGCAAGTAGATTTTTGCAATAGATGCAACTCGTCGACATGTTTTGTTTTTTCTTTGTTATATAATATAATATTAGATCCAAGTGTATACTATGATATGTTACCTATTTTAATATAACAATACAAAGTATAAAGCTGTTTAAAATATAATGAAACTGGATTTTGAGAAATTTAACAAGACCAACGTTTTTGTAATATTTGTATACCTACATTAATAGTTTTTGTTATATTATTTGCTATTATTTACGATTTGCAATATTTTGATATTTAACTGGGATGCTAAACATATTTTCTAATTTAACAGTTGTTGGAGATTTTTCATGTAAATATTTCAATCAGATTTTTTTTTCGTAAACAATTTATACAATGATTTTGAAAAAAAGTCAAACATATCCTGGAACATTGTGTCTAATGATGTGTAATTTTACTATTGATTGTAAAATGTTAAGATAAACTTATGAGTTTTTTTGAGAATTCTTATCAAAATAAGCTGCTTAGAAATGTAGAATTAAAAAACAACCAATTGGCTWACTAAATTATAAACTAACATCTAATATTTCTAAAAAATAATWATGTTACCGTTACGACCATCTAGAATTTTGAGAATGACCAGCTAATCAATGGTCATAACGAACTTTTATTTAAATTTTACTAATTATAATTCTTATATTTTACATCAAACACGAACAAAACTTTAAAAATATKAATAGGTCTATAAATAAGTGACGTTGAATAATTTAAAAAAATAAATGCTAAAAAATATTTTCTATTTATATCTATAATTGGAATATATTATACAATGTCATTYAGCTAAAATTTTCTTTTGATTTCATTAGTTTGATTTTTAAGTCCAGTTTTCAACCCGGTTCAACGGTTACCAATATAATTATTTGTTACAATTCGAATTGGACCTGGTGGTAAYATGTATATTAGGCGTATAGCATTACAGCATTACTTTTCATCTTTTGCTATTTATATAGGTCTAGCCTATAGCGTTACCCTTCGGCAGACCATTGAGTGAGCACTGACCATCAGTGGGGGGAAGGCCAGCTATTTAGGGTGGTTAGAGGCTCCCACCCGTTTAAAGTTGGTGAATAAACGACACAGAATCATGTGGCAGTATTTCGATAAACAGTTACCACTCTTTYCTTGTTTTTTTCAACGATACAAAAAGGGTGACCACGAGGATAATTTGACTGGAATATCTCCTAAAAAATGTGCACGCGTCACACAATAATATAATAAATGGGATAAAAATATGGCTATATAACAACTACCAACATAATGTTTTGTTTTATTTTAGTCTGATCAACTCACGAGAATCGGTTCGGCGAATCAGTCTGTAGTTATTGTTATTTGTATCACGCGTCATGATGCACTTATCTATAATAGTAAAAAGATAATATCATGTACTTATGTTATACCTATTGAGAATATATTATTATCAAGTACTATTGTATATACTATATTGGCTATATTTAGTATCTAATAATTTATAATATATTAGTTATGTATGCTTATACAAGTATTGTTGTCTAAAGATATCGCACGAGTGCCTGTTTGAATATTATAACACTTATTGTACAGCACTTGTTGTTGTCATTATTGACAAAAGGTGAGGATATAAATAATTATTTTATTATGTAGGTATGGAGAATATTGTATCGATAATATATGTATATAGGTATTAGGAGTTACACTAATACGTAGGTAGGTTTATTATTATTGCACATAAAATATTACCATAATCGTATTTACATAATAATATATGCCAACAGTTAATCGCCGTTGAAGTCTTCTCTTATCGGACCGATTCGCAAAGTCGTAACAAAGTTTTAATTAGTATCGTTTTTCAATTTTTTTTTTTTTT